GCTTTATTCTTTCTTAATAAACTTTCTGACAAAACTAATTTATCCAAACCTGAAAACTATGGCATTAAATCTACAAAATGTCCTCCACATATAAAAGAAATGGTTATATTTGAAAATGATTTAATTAATTTAGTTAAAAATATTAAATTTCTTAAAGTGAACAACAAATTTCAAGAAAAGCTTTCTAGCGATATAAAATCTTTGCGCAAATCAAATAAAACTTTAACTCAGTTGACAAAACCTCCAATATGTACAGAATTTCCAAAGAAAAGTGTAACCACCTCCTTAAGAACGACGTTACATCTACATATAAAAAGGCTGACCAAAATCTGAAGGATCGAATAAATATCGAAGGTAAGCACCTTTTAACTAATCATGATGTTTTCAACAGAATTGAATTAAATGGCACCTCTAATTGTTTTATCACTCTAAAAGACCACAAGGATAATTTTTTAAACAACCCTACAGTTCGCCTATTAAATCCTGCAAAAAACGAAGTAGGAAGAATTTTCCATCACAAATAAATAAAAGTGATTTTAGAAAAAAAGTTTGCATCAACCTATGGCTAAACTCACAGAACGTTATAGATTGGTTTCAAAATATTAAAGAAAAACATTTATACAAATTCTTAATTTTCGATATAACTGATTTTTATCCTTCAATTAATGAAAATTTACTAAACAATGCAATAACCTTTGCTGAAAAATACTTAAAAATAAAACAAGGTGAAAAAAGTTTAATACATCACGCCAGAAAATCGTTATTATTCAACAATGTTGAAGCCTGGATTTAAAAAAGTGGAGGTTTATTTGATGTAACCATGGGAGCCTTTGATGGCACATAAGTTTGTGAGTTAGTTGGAATATTTATCTTGTTTCAATTATTGCAATATTACAATAAAGATGAATTTGGGTTGTGTATAGAGATGATGGTCTAGCAGTGTTTAAGAACCAGAGCGGTCAACAGATGGAAAAAATTAAAAAGCACTTTGTAAAGGTTTTTAAAAATAATGATCTTCATATATCCTGTAAATTTGTAGTTGTTAAATACTAAATCTTAAGGACAGTTCGTTCCAGCCTAACTGCAAACCTCGTAATTCCATCAGTTATATAAATGCTGACTCTAACCATCCTCCTAGTATATTAAAAAACCTTTCTCAAACTATCGAACCAAGATTGTCAAGCAATTCTTCTAACGAAAATATTTTTAAACAATCCATTCCTCTTTATCAAGATGCATTATCTAAATCAGGTTTTATCTCCAAATTCGCTTACCATTCAAATAAAAAGCCGACCCAATTCAAAAATCACAAGCAAAACATAATTTGGTACAACCCACCTTTCAGTACCAATGTTGCAACAAAAATAGGCAGTTGTTTTTTGAACTTGGTAAACCTACATTTTCCGGTTGGTCACAAACGTAAGATATTTAATCGAAATACCATTAAAATAAGCTACTCATGTATGCCAAATATCAAGTCCATCATTAATTTGCACAACCACAGGATATTATATAACCAAGATAAAGATGAGGGAAAAACATGCAACTGTCTCAACCAATTCATCTGTCCTATGAACAATCAGTGCTTGACAAAAAACATCGTTTATCAAGCCACTGTGTCGTCAAATAAAATTTTAGGTGGTATGCAAACCACCTAAAATCTTTTAACATTAACAAATATAAAAATCCCACTACACAGTATTTTGTAATTTTTAGCAGGTTTTTTGTTTTTGATTTTGTATTCAATGGCTGATGATTGCCGTATAGGCATGAAACTTTAAGTACCATAGAAAAAGTAATAATTAATTTTGAAAAAAGTTATTCCAGGTTTATTGTACCACCCTAATCAACTTCATGTTCTTAACCTGATTCTTAACCATTTTAACTCAAAGTTTGATTCCTTATCAACATTGCCTAATATTCATTACTGGTTCATTAATGGGTTGATAAGTAACTACCATGATTTAATTGAATAATGAAAGCCTCAAGGACCAGTTAATAATAAATCCTTTTACTTGTTTTCATGATGATTAAAAATGCAGCACTTATTGTTATGTAATTTTTATTTATTGTTAATATTATATAAACATTAATGTTAATGTTATATAAACATTAAGATATTTTGTTTTTTATATTTTTAATTTTTATTTAAAATGACATGGTAATAATATATCGCATAGTTACAATGATATATTTTATGTTTATGAATATCTTATTGGTAATTGTTATATATATATATATATATATATATATATATATATATATATATATATATATATATATATATATATATATGCATATACATCAAGCCTTCCCAGGAAAGGCGTGCGGTTTTTCTTCTTGTATGACCACATGCGATTGTAATATTTTAGAAAATGTGAACACGGTCGTTTGCAGGTTTTATAATAATGCTGAAAAAGTTTCAATAACAAAAAAACAAAACTAACTAAATAAAAAGAGATTGAAATAGAAAGAAATAAAAACAAATTAATAATTTAAATAATTTGTGGACTGTTTTTGTTTTTGTTTCTTTAGAGTTACATTTAGCAACAAAATTAGATAAGGCGAAGCAAAAAAAAAACAGTTTGAAGTCTATAATAAAAAGAATGATTTTCCTTTTCTTAATTTTTTTAAGAGGATAGCAAAAATACAAATTGCAATGTGTTTGTAAAATTTATTTGTATAATTTTAATGTAATAACAAGGGTTGAATAAAGCGTATGCAAAACGCAAAATCTGGAAAAATATCTAGTATTCAAAATTTTAGTTTATACAAAACTGTGTTCCTTGTTTTTAAGGAGAGAATCAACTTGAATTTGTTAGCGAAAAAATACACTAGTAACTAACTGCATTACAAAAGTAATAGCACTATAATAGTGTTATTACTTTTATAACGCACTTATAACTATTAAAATTCACTCTTTCTTCAAGCAACATTAGTATTCCCAAATTTTAATTGAAGTAGAAAAATATCTAGAAGAATAAAGTGGATGTTCAAATAATATTAAAACTCAAGTAACTTATAAAATCGTGACAAACAACTTTATGAAAACGTATCATATTAAAAGTTTAGCATTTTGAAAAACGTTACTAATGGACCATAAAAACGCGCGTTAATTTTGAAATTAACCAATAAAAATTTTTCATTGGGTCCCTGAAATTTTTAATAATATTTGAATATCCACTTTTAAATTATTAAATAATATTTGAATATCCGCTTTTAAAGTTCCTGAAATTTTTTATAATATTTGAATATCCGCTTTATTTTTCCTAGATGTTTTTCTACTTTAATAAATGTTTGGAATTAATAGTATTGTTTGAACAAAGAATGAACTTTAAAAGTAATAAGTGCTTTATAAATGTAGTAACACTATTATAGTTTTATTACTTTTATAATGCAGTTAGTGATTAAAGTGTTATTACTTTGTAGTCGTAAGTTTATTGCTTTTGTTTTGTTTTTTGTAACTTTCTTGCTAGCAAGCTTTTAATAATTTGCTCCTTATAAACAAAGTACACAGCTTTGCATGAGCTAATATTTTATCAGAGTTTGCAAACGCGATCGTATAATTTAACTCTTGATACAAACTTGTTACATTATAATTATACAAATATATTTTACAGATGACGATACATATTTTCTCTTTCCTCTTTAAAAGAAAAAACACATTAAGTATGGGAAAGTCATCCTTTTTAACGCCTAAAACCGTTTTTTTTTTTTGTTTTTTTTTTTTTGTTGTTGTTGCTTTGACAATGAATTTTGTTGCTGATAATAATAACCACTAAGAAAAAACAAGAAAAACAACAACACACAAGTTATTTAAACTATTATTAATATTTTCTATTCAAGTTTACTTTAGTTTCTTAAGCAGTTATTAAATTTAAAACAATTTTTCAGTAACCCATATATAACTTGCGCAAACGGTCGTAATCATCTCTAACTTGAAAAACGTTTTTGTGGTCGTACGAGAAAAAAAACCGCACGCCTTTCCTGGGAAGGCTTGATATACATACAACCCTTGGAATTAGAGTTGGCATTTGGCAATGCCGTCCTAACTGCCAACCTGAAAGTGTTTGAGGTCAGCAATTTTTTGCTGACCTCATTTTTATGTTTTTTTTTTTTTTAATTTAAATATACAGGGCTCGAAATAGCCCCCGGACATTGTCCTGCACTTGTTGCCGTAAATAGCTGCCAGGCATTGTCCGGCACTTGTCCTTTAAAAAACATAAACTAGTCATTTTGTCTGACACATCTTCTGTGTTTTTTTATCATAGAAAATTGTTCATTATTTAATCATAGAAAAGATTTATTGAAGAAAATCATAATATAAATATTTTAAATTATGTATTTTAACATAAATATGCATAAATATAAATATACATAATATAATAAAGAAAATACATACTATAAGTTTATATAAATAAAACTGTGTATAATATTCTTTAATTATTTAAATAAAATGGATTTATTGTTAACAACTATTTGAAGTAGTTTGTTACTTTATTTAAAGTAAACATACATTAAAAAGCATTTCACATAATATTTTTTCACATAAAATTTTTATATAATACTTTTTATATAACATTTTAAAAACGTATTATAAAATTATTTCTTTTCGAATTTTATTAATTTTTTTCTTTCTTTAATATATATATTTTTTTAGATAAGTTATCTTTTAAATTTTGTTGTTGTTGTTGTTGTTGTTGTTGAAGAAGTTATCAAAATTGCTGTGGTCAAGTTGTAAAATCAAAATATTATATGAATGATTAGAGATAGCATTAGATAGCATGCCTTTCTTTAAATTAAATTTTTTGTTAGGTTTTGTTAGACATGTGTCCACCAAACTTATAATACCAAAAGTATTTATCAGACAAATTGCTCAGAACAAAAAAGTTTGTTATTTTGAGCCCTAGATATACATTAATAATTTTCTAAAACAACTTGGATAAAAGATGATAGTTAAAATAAAAGATGGGGATAAAAGATGAGTTTTTATTTTTTAGAATGGATTAAATGTCACTCGTAATGATACTTGTATTAAAGAAGACATTAAAAATATAAAACCTTTAAACACAAGAAAAGATTCAGTTGCAGTTAATAGTTATTTTGAACACTTGAGTCAATATAAAAAAGAGTAAGTTATTTTTCTATTGCATAAAAGTTAAGTCCTTTTTTTTTCTTTTTAAAAGTGAAGTTGTTCTTTTAAAAGTTGTTCTTTTGTTAGTTCAGTTGAAACCAGTTTTTCAAACTTCACTATTGCGAAAACTCATAACTAAAAATTGTATACTTAAATCATTTTTGTTATAAATACTAATTTAAAAAATATTTATGTGAAATTAAATTAATAAAAAACAAAATATTTTGATTTGTGAAAATGAATATAATGAATATTAAATCTGGGCTAAGTGCCATAAATTTTTTGGCTTGATTTCAAAATGTGTTTAATGTGCTAAACACTACACAGTAAAAACTAAGTGATATTCCTTGTGCAAGTAGGTTTAACTACAACAAGAGTGTGCATGGATCTAAGTGCAATGCATTTTGAAATTAAATGCAGGCCACCAGCTGAAAACTATCTTGATGTTAGAATTCTTTTAAATGATTTAAAATAAAAGTTTTGCTTTTTTTTAAAAAAACACAGACTAAAGTTATTATCTTTTAATATGTTATTATTTTATTATTATTTTATTATCTAATATGTTATTATTTTTATTATCTTCTTGTTATTATAATTCACAAAATTAAAATTATAATATTCATGGTCTGTACTTTTTTTTTGAAAGCTCAAATCTTGTTTTAAATTATTTAAAAGAACCCTAACACAGTCTTGAGAGCATTAGTTAGGATTCAGTGGTGAAGCAGCACATGGTTACTTAGTGCTATGTATTATACTGTTTTTTTTTTCAATCATGGTTACTATTTATTTTTCAATCATGTTGTAAAAAAATGAAGTAAAAGAGATGAAGGGTTTTTTTCTTAAGCCAAAAAAAATCAACTTGGAGCTGAAAGGAAATTCTATGTGAATAAATAAAGTGTGCTGATGCCTTAAAAACATGCTTGCCCCAGTTGCTTGAGGTACTACATAGACTTTTATTAATGGCATAAAAGTATAAAATAGTTTTCTTGCAGCAGAAAAAAATTTATGTTTATCTATTGTTGTTATTTGTACAGTGAGACTAAAAAAGGTTACAGGTTATTAGATGCAGAGGTTATGCTTCTAAACCATGCTTTTTGCTTGTCCGTTTCATGCCAGTGATATAAATGCCTATGTATTGCCTTTAAAGGTAAACTGAAGATCTTTAATGACTTTTATGAACTGGGAAATTTTTGCAAGCAAAAAAGTATATATCTATTGGGAAACTTGATTGTTAGTCAAGTCAAACTATAGAAAAAATATACAATGATATTCAACATATAATTTAACATATTGAAAGTTTTTCTTAAGAAAAAAGTCATCACAAGGACAAAAAGTTCACTAATGTAGTTTAACCAAGGTTTGAAATATCAAAAAATGTATAATAGTTTTGTTGAATTTCATCCAAGCAACAAAGTTGGATACAATTGTTACAAGAAATTATTAAAAGAAAATTTTCAAAATATTCCACAGCCCTAGAAAAGACACATGTTATACATGTGACTTGTTGAAAAATAAAATTTTGAATGACTTCAGAAGTAGTAAAGAACAATTGTTATTTACTAGAACTTCATAAAAAGAAAGGAGATGCAGCTAGAGAGCAAATAAAAAGTGATCATGTAAAATCAATGGCTCCTACAAGTGACATGTGTGCAGTATCTATAGACTTGTGACAAGTTTATAAATACTGTACAAGTTTATAGTTGGTAATAGTATTTGCCACAATCTACTTACTTATTTATTTCATGCACATTTGATTTGTTAGAATTTCAGTATATGACATCATAAAAATTTTTTTAAAGATATTGAAGTATTTTTTTCTCCCACAATCAGCAAATCATTTTTGTTTAAGTTTTAACTAAATCCCAAAAAATATTCATAATACAAATAACATGTCTTGTTAAGAAGCGTTATGCTGTACATATTTAATGTAGATTTTATTTTAAAGTTTTCACCTATGTATTCAGCAGTTTACAACAAGCAAAGACTTTTATCTCTGGGAATATATTTAAATTACGTTATGTTGTAATTATTGTAAATCGCATTTGTGAAATGATTTATTTTGTTGATAAAAAAACAAATTATTGAGTAATTTTTTTATTTTATTTTATTGAAATTTTAAAATTACTTTAAAAATTAAAATTTAATTTTAAAGTATTGTTGAATGGTTTTGCAGTATGTTATAAAGAAATCATTTTTTTCTAATTATTTACTAGTTCTTAATTATTTAAAAACATAAAAAAAAGTCTTTGACGCTGATTAAAATGTGTAAAAACATATAGAAACTATTTCCTTTATGTTTAAAGAAAGGTGAAGTGTTTTTGTCTATGAGAATTCTTTTCACAAAAGTAATTAAAATGTTTAGTTTCTAATTAATTTAATATCACATAAAGTTCTTATCAAGTTAGTTTAATTTATATAAAAAATTCTTATGACATAAGTTTTACATTTTATTAGTAACTGAAAAAATCTATCTATAAATTATTTATAATCCTTATTAGATCTAGTTCATTAAATACATAAAAAAACTAAAATGTGATTAAGCAAATAAAAGATTATTATATTACTAGCAAAAGGCAACCCGTAATACGGGTTTTGGTCAGTCTGTTACATAATTAATTTATAGTAGCTGTTTTCCACAATTTAATCTTGCAAAACCTTAACTAATACCCTTTTAGAAAATTGCCTTCAGCTTGAAAAAATTAATCCATCTGTAAAATTAACATAAAAATTATGAGGAGGTAAAATAATTTACCAACTACTACTTAACATTATTTAAGTAATTTACAAATGGCACATGTCATAACAGTGTAAGGCAGAACCATTTTCATCGACCTTCCTAAGTTTAACACAATACGTTTTTAGTTACTGACGCAAAATAATAACACTTGGTTATACTTTAAATTGACGAAAGTGTCAACTAAATCCTTGTAATAATTTTTATAACACGAACCATTAAGATTAAAATGAAGTTAACTTATATTATACAGGAGTTATCAATTTTTTTGTTATCCCCTTGATTAATTGTTCTTTAGAAAAGAAAATTGTTAACTTAAAAATGTTAAATGCACACGTTTAAATAAATTTATAAAAAATAATAAAGTTTATTATAACTACGCAACTGAGTACAAATACCTTTCAAACAAAAAAAAATTTAATTTACGATCAAACATAGGTATAACAAATTTTTTAATACATTAATGCATCATAGAACAAACTAAAATAAAAATTATAAGTAGACATAAAAATTTGTAAACCGAGCTGATACGACCCGGGTCTTGTTAAGTCTGTTCAACACAGACCATTTCTATATTATTTGTTTGTCCTCTTTATTTCATTAATTTTTAGTAAACGGTAATTTGCCACCATTTACTAAAAATTCCTTTTGTAACTCGAAATCTAATTTTCCTAAATATTTTGACTCTAATAAAGAGGTTCCTTCCCTCTTTTTGCTTTAATGGTGGCCAGGTGAATAAAATAAAATAATAAAATGTAAAACAATGATCTACATATATAAGAATGTTTTCTTTCTTTCCTCAAAAGTGTTGCAAATACAGACTAAGCTAACTAATTAGTTAAACACATAAATAAAACTTGAGTAACTCGATATTAATGCGCAAAACTACAATATTCTTCATATTTTTAAGGTTTTTAGTTACGACCCCCCATTCACAAAGATCCCCTTAAAATACGTACAACAAATTATTAGGCAAAAAATAGATAAAATATAAAATTAACTAATAGCTTATATTTATATCTTTTTAACTAACAAAAATTTACAATAAAAAGAAATCAGGTTATTTAATTTTATAAATCTTATAAATGCGTCATAACGTAGTTCTAAAATAAAAAAGTAATGAAATTATGATATCATAATTACCAAAAAAAAAAAAAAAAAAAAAAAAAAAACACCACACAATTACCAAAAATCGATTTACCTATTTATAGTAACCTATTTTGAAAATGCAGTTAAATATTTATCGAAAATGTAACTATAAAACCTGTTTCGAAGTACCAAAGCATTAAGAATACTAAAAAAAAATCAAACTAAGATATAAATTGTTGTTTTGGCTTTTATAATTTAATCATATATATAACTATAAACAAATATGACTTTATGTAACACGTATAAACACATTTTACAACTATTGAATGATAGATATATTTACCAAAAACTATGAAAAAAAAAAAAAATAATGATAAATAAAGTTATACATACAAAATGTGCTCACAACCTTTAACAGTAAATTTTCGAAATGAAAATCTAAAGACTATAAATTAAGAAATTTAAAAAATATAACAATATTTATGATACATTTTTTTACTTACTATACCTTGAATAAGATATTTATCAATTTTGAAAAACAAACTATTAAATGGTATAGTTCTTGAAAATGCAGCATATAGTTGACCATGAGAGAAACACGGTTTTTGAGATATTTCTTTTGTCTATGTTTAATTTCGCGTTACGTAATATATAGACGATCCCTAAGAGAAAATACTTAGAGACGATCCCTAAGAGAAACTAAAAAGATTTTATTTATTACAATATTTAAACAACCAAGGGACAATTTAAAGAATATCTTTAAATAGCAAATTATCAATTGCAGTATTAAAAAATACGCAAGAGCTTAATAATTACAGATTTTAATCAGAGCTCAGTAATTACAGAGTTTAATCAATTCTCTCTCTACAATTCTCATTTCTAATTCTTATTAAGTTTTATCTAAGAGAGAGAGGAAGTGTTTTAAAAACACCATGTTATAAAAAGTAAAAAAGTCATGCAATAAATAACAGTAACTGGTTTTATTACGCTACCAATAAACAAAATTATTTTTACCTTAACTAAAAGTTAATTTCCAGCATTTCTTAATTTATTTCCAGCTTCTCTCTAACTGTTGACAAATGATTAATATTGTAAATTTCACATCATATTAAATTTACAAAATTAAAACCATGTTTTAACAGTAAGCAAAATAATCAAGTGATGACAAAGACAA